CTCTAGGAGAGACCCTTGCATGATTGGTTAGTTAATGAGGTTTCACTTGTCATTCGCGAGGAGTTACCCAACATCATTAGACGGGTTACTAGTAGGTTGACCGCGAAGCACCAGGATCAGACAGCGGTTGTTCGGACGATGGATGGGGTCGATGAGGTAACGCATGAGCGAGAGACTGGCAGGGAGTCGGAAAGGAAGAGGAAAACAGATGAGACTTAGGTAACCACATGTTCAGGCAAGAGGCCCAAGGGGTCGGATTCGAGATTGAGGGACTATCAGAGCCGCAGTCGATGCGGGAAGTGTGGTAGGACGCACGATGATACGTGTAGATGTAGAAGTGGTGGCGATGCTGGATGTTTCATGTGTTGCCGGATTGGCCATTTTAGCAGAGATTGTGTTGTTACCATCGCCCAGGGACTTGACCCGATATGTTTCTATTGCAGTTAGAGGGGCCACAAGAAGGCCCACTATCCGAGTTTGCATACAACAGGGAAGGTGATAACTCTTGCCCCTGTGACTTCGAGAACCATTAACGGTTGTCGGAGCCGGCCAAGGGTTCCCACGGCTCAGATTAGCGTGTACAGGTTGATTTCAGCAAGAGTTCAGGGTCAGGCGCCCATCGTTCCGCAGAAAGTTAAGATCGAGCCACACTAGATCGCAGGTGTGTAGTTTGAATTCTTCCGTTTTGTAGTAACTCTATTGATTGTGGTACTGCATCGATGTTAGTAAGCATGTATCCGTGAGTATTATATTAACTGCTTGTGATTTAGTTATATGTGATTTGCATACCTTAGTTTCAGATTGATAGTCAGAGGTTGTTCCCCAATAAAGCGGGTTATTTAGGTTGCAGTAACTATAGCAAGATTATGTGGGTCTTGAAGTGTCTCGCTAGTTCAGGAATGGGTCATATTGGAGCTGGATTGGTTAGATCCCTAGCTATGGTAAGCTTGGGATTTTCAGCAAGATTGATTACGGAATGCTAGTAAGGATTTAGGAATTCTTTTCATGCTTTGGGCAGTGAGGTATAGGCAGGATCAAAGTGGCGGAGAACCCTCCGAGTATACAACGGTAAGAGTACACAAATCCAGAATGAGTATGCGATCTACTAGAAGAAAAGGTTGTAGCACAACGATTGATGGATTGAGGAGTTCAGGGTTGGGGGTTTGAGGAACTTCCCAACAGTTAGTTCATGTGATCAATATGGTTAGTAGCTGGTTGGGAATCCAGGGTTGGAGGACTGCCTGTAGGAGTCTAGGGAGTCAAAATGAGGATCTTGAGAACGGTTAGCAAAAGATGCTTTCGTGTTAGTAGTCAGTGGTAGAGACAGCCTGTAGAGCATGGTAGAGCGGCGGGAAAGCCGCAACATTTTTTCAGCAGCAGTCAGATAGTAGTAGAGTGTTTTAAGTCCGCGGGGCTATCCGTAGCATTCACTAGCAGCCAGATAGTAGTAGGGTGTTGTAAGTCTGGGGGGAGGCGGGTAGCCGTAGCATTCACTGGCAATCAGATAGTAGTAGAGTTTTGTAAGTCTGCGGGGGTAGCCGTAGCATTCACTAGCAGTCAGATAGTAGTAGAGTGTTGTAAGTCTGCAGGGGTAGCCGTAGCATTCACTAGCAGTCAGATAGTAGTAGAGTGTCGTAAGTCTGCGGAGGTAGCCCTAGCATTCACTAGCATCCATATAGTATTAGAGAGTTGTAAGTCTACGGGTGTAGCTGTAGCATTTATCAGGTTGGTAGGCATCATGAGCGCGTTGTTTGGACGTGGGGGAAATAGTAGTACCCACCAGTCGGGTGCATCAGTGAGGATATGGAAATCCACGGGTTTGATTTCGAATCTCCCAAATGGTTCAGTTATGGTTAAGTCGACGATTCGATAGTCGGATCGTCTCCACATTAATGAGATCAGGGAAGCAGTGGACCACTTAGCTTCGTGTATGTTATGGGCTACTGTTGGTTTTGGAACCAATACTTTTAGTTTTGGATGTTATGATGTTAGGATTTAATGTATGGACCCGATCGGTTGGATCGGGAGGTTGTTAGAGCCACAGTGACAGGATAGCTAGTGGAAACAAGTTCCAGAGAAGGACTTCGTTCAGAAGTCGTGTGAGCGACTAAGTAAGGAGTCATTGGGATCCACAGTTGAGTTAGAACTCGGTGTTGCAGATAACTGAAGAATGATTGGAGACCAGGAAGGTCTCGAGATATTTTGGGAAGCAGCCATATAGCAGTTCAATGTTTCAGGCAGTTCAATGTTTTAGGAAGTTTAGTGCTCTAGGCAGTTCAGTGTTTCAGATAGTTTCAGTGTTATGGTCGGTATCGGTTTTTGAGTTGGGTTGCAAGTGTGGGCAGAATAGTAGGCTAATTTGGAAATGGAAAGTCTCTCACAACAAGATCATATCATTTCACTATAGGTGGACTATCAAGGAGTTAGACTACCCATGAAAGCAGGTTTTAGACGGAGTCAATGTGATCATGATGTAAGGTATTTGTTTCTCTTTCAAGTTTAGAACCCTACAGGGGCTGGTCTTCATGGTCATGAAAAGGTTGGGTATGCTTTTTGAGGCGACCATGCCGTTCAAGTGGGCAGGTGATGCTAAGTTGCTCACCGCGGAATCAGGTAATCTCAGAGCGATTTGATAGTTCTTGTTGAGTTTTAACCTTAGCAAAGAGGGATCAGTTTCTCTATTGGATTGTTTGAATTCTCGCACGAAGTGGAGATTTCAGTACTGGAGCATCACAGGTGGAATTATTTTGTGAGTAAGGGTTCGATGGCCGGCACTGGGAGTGGCCGGAATGGCAGCTCAGTAAGGGATTGAATGATCTTGGAAAGGTTGTTGTTTGTGAAAAGTTTCCTTGGAAAGGTTAGTGGTGAGGTAGGGTAAAAAGGGTAAACTCATTATGTACCAACAGTAGGTACACTGTGAGTGCCGATGAGATTTTTCCGGTTAGGTAAAAGTGGGGGAGAGTTGTAACACCCAAAATAAGGAAGTCCAAGAAAAGAAAGGTTAAACTCTACGTCAAGAGTCAACTCATCGGAGCGGGATCTGGGTCATTGAGTAAGTGACCGACTCGGAGAGTCAAGGAGTGGACTCGGCAAGTCTGGTCTGGGCGAGAAAAACCCTAATCGCAAGAGGTTGTGCCCTGTATAAAGCACATTATAACCGACCCTCAGCCTCTTTACTCCCCTTTTGAGTTCCAAAAACCCTAGAATTGAGTGAGCCTTCATTATTTGAGAGAATAGATCCTTGGGGGAGAGAATCTTGGAGAAGGTCTAGAAAATCAAGGGCTTTGCTATAAAGGATTGTTGTAGATATGGGATTTACTTGAGTTGGAGCTTTCATTTGAGGTAATAGTCTGTTGCTTGGGCTTTTGTGCATCTAGATCTACCTTATGTTTGAGATTTGGGCATTTTGAGTATGGATGAGATCTATTTCGAGTTTCGAGTATATATGAGGTTGCTACCTGTTGAGGGCCTCAACAGACCCACGTTGTACATTATGAGTCTGTTGAGGGCACTACTATAAATAATGTTGCAGTCTTAACTATTAGATATATATATATATATATATATATATATATATATATATATATATATATAGATATAGGGAGAGAGAGAGAGAGAGAGAGATAGAGAGAGAGAGTTCCTACATTTTCATATTTGTACACTTGATATTACCTTCTAGACTAACTGAGTTAAAACGTAATTATTTACACTTTCTGTCGACTTCCTTATCATTTGATTCATGTTCATTTTTCTTAATTCCGCAATGTGATTTCCATGGGATCCTATATGTGGTATTAGAGCTTAATCTCGGAGGTTTAAGCAACTATTTCAAGAACAATGATCCAAAATGAAAATTTGATCTCGTGAGTCTAACATTGTTCTTTAGTGTTGTAAGTATTATATTTTTTTTCAAGGAATTCTTGTTTTAGAAATTGAATTCAACTATTTGCTTCATTCCAATTCGATTTTCTATCTCTATAACATAATTCAGATCTTATTTCTTATTCAAGAATTCACTTAGATCTGTTATTGATTCGTGTTGTTAAAACAATTTTATTGAAGAATTCAAATTTTGTTCATAGATTCGTTCTAGATCCATTAAAATTCACTTTAGATCTACTTTCTCTCTCTCTCAAATTATCATGATATCTATTCTCTCTCTCTCTCTCTCTCTCTCTCTCTCTCTCTCTCTCCCTCTCTCTCTTTCTCTGTTCAAGTATCCAAGATCTTTTGATCTTTTTGTTTTTTTTTTATTCTGAAAAGGAAGTCCCAACTGTTTCTACAAAGTTTGTCAAAGAGGTTTCTATTCCTGAGACTGTTGTCACAAAGTCAAAGGAGCTGAAGAAGAAGTATTAAACGTTACAGAAGAAAAAGTACAAAAAGAGTAGGAAACATAAAGTTGGTGGGTTGTTGAATCAGTTCATGAAGTTTAGGGCTCATACAATCGAAGAGCCTTATACCAAAGCTACATCAGCAACAAATACATTTGAAGCAGATCGCGATAGCGAAGAGACAAAAGATGAAGCTTTTAGAAATAATGATCATACATTCTATGATTCACTAAGAAAGTATGCCACCTTTGAATCGAATATCAAGGAGACACGCAATCATGGTATCACTATAAATGTATCTAATATGGATAGAAACACTGATTTTGGTGAACCAATCATTACTTCAATTCTTGAGAAGACTGATTTTACTCCAACCAAAGGACCTATTTACAAGTCTAATATGTAATAGGCTAGGTCTTCAAACATCACTGAGAACTTATCTAATAACAACTAAAATGTTACTATGGTGAGGAGAATTTGACATCTGCTATCGACACTTCAACTGTTCCACCACCACCACCTTTGTTAACACAACCATCTTCGACTATCATACCAACAACTGTTCCTGCTATTTATCCTACATTTCAAGGTGTCATAAATGAGTGTATTACTTTTTTTTTTCAATCAACCGATCAAGCGACAACAAATAGAAAAGATGGAGAAGATGAAATGGTTAGATTTGTTGAGTTAGAGTTTGATGACGAAGATGATAATGTTGATGAGAATGAAATTATGTCAAGAAAGAAATACAAAATCCTTAACTCTACACTCAACACCATTCTTGAATTTTTGAATGATATTGTTAGGAAGTCCTCTGTATGGGGTGAAGAGGTTGATTTTCTATTAAAATCCCAAGAGTCACGAATAAGGACTTTATTTAATAATGTTGTTGCAAATTTCAAAGAACATCTTGCTGCTCAATCCATATCTTACAAATATGAATCAAGGAATTACAGAATGTTGCTCATGAGCGACACGAAAATTTTGAGAAGCTTGTGAAATCTTCAAAAGAGTCCATTAAATCGAAGCTCAAGGATTTTCCTGATTCGTTCTCAAAGGAAGTGGTGAAGTTGTATAATTTTTGTGTGCACATTAAATATAAAGTTGATGGTTTTATGGATGCAAATTGAACCTTGATTGAAGATATTAGTGCCTTTAATAAGGAATATGTTGGTTAGTTGAAGCATAAAAAGGAATCTAATCACAGTGTTTTTAGTACAATTGATAACTTTCTTACTAGTTTTCATGAAAGATTATTGAAGTTTGATTTTCCATAAACAACTTCAATATCTAAAGAGCAAATCGCTTTTGTGGTTTTTCCATTGGAATAAAGTTTCAAATCTCAACTTGCTTCGATATTAGATATGCTTCTTAAATTACTTACCAATGATCCATCCCATCTATGGACATGTCACAAGGGGGAGATAAAGGGGTGTTCATAGAAAGATAGTGGAGAAGATAAAGGAAAAGTATTTAGGAAGGTGATTTCTATTCAAATTCCAACTTCACTACTGATGAAATCTATCACCACAACTTTGACAATCATTGCTACATCAAATCCTAAAATAGATATGTTAAAGATACAATCGAAAAAAAAGATTGAACATAAATGAAGGAAGTTTACGTTCTTCAGTAGTTAAAACTATTACTACTTCTGATCCTAAAGATAAAGGTGAAAGTGTTCATTTGTAGCCTAGAGCTGAGGTTAGGAAGAAGTTTCAAGAGGTTGAGTTTTAATGATTGAAGCAATTGAACAACATAATGATGATGAGAGAAAATGACCCACCAAGTCTTAACAAGGTAGATCCTAACACGGATTGGTGTTATGATATGATTAAAAGTGAAACTTATGGAAAAGCAGATGATTTTGATAAAATACTACGAAAAGCTATGCCACTGAAGATACATATTTCAATCAACTGGAATTTCTAGTAAATCATTCAATGTTAATTTTTCTTTAGTTCACACTTTCCAAGAATTATAATTATTCTAAAGAAAGTAAGAAGTTCAGGATTCGTTTCCCATATAGTTTTAATAAAGAAAGAATAAGATGTGTGGTGTTTCGTGAAGATTGTAAAAAATATATCGGTATACACCATTTTATCTGACTTCACCATTTCCGACTTTCCCTTGATGAATCTGAATGATCTAATCACAATTACAAAGATCCTGGGAGATTTGAGAAAATCCCAAATTGAAGACAAAGCTTTGTACATCATTGGATAATATCACATCAAAAGCTTTTTGGGCTATTATTTTTCCCATCTAGCATTAACAAATATTGATCTCTCTATTGCGCACAACAAAAAGTTGAAAGTTGCTAAGGGTTTGTTGAAAGTAAAATCTTAAATTGATGATTATGAAAATAGATAAATCATCAATTAACTTATGGGAAGTTGTTTTCCAAGTCAAGAAGAAGAAGGAAGGGAAAAAGAAATTCTAATTTCGCACTGATGATGTTGAAAAATATTCGAAACAACATCATTCAAGTATCCTTCTTCGCACCAATAATTGTATGAAGAATTTAAATGAAGATAGAGAAAAGATAAGGAAGATCATCATGTGTTACATGGAAATTAGAAGAGTTCTGCTATAGGTGATAAAGACACTACCCTTAGTCTGAAGATTCGATATTTCATCATAAAGGGGGCGAATGTAGCGTCCTATTTGTTGTGATATATCGAAGCTGAGGTAGTGGTCTTGGTAGTGAATTTTTTATCAATAATGAATGTCTTCATGATAACTACCACATTTGTTTTCCGTAAGGTTCTTATGACTCAGATCATCAGCTACAACATTTGTTTTTCCTAGGTGGTAACTAATCTCGCAATCATAATCTACAAGCAACTCAACCCATCGTCATTATCTTATATTAAATTCTTTCTAATTATGAATATTCTGCAATCTCATATGATCACTATGTAATGTACACTTGACCCGTATAAGTAATGATGCCATAAAAAGAGTGCAAATACAACAACTACCAACTACAAGTCATGTACCAAATAATTCAACTCGACGCTCTTCAGTTATCGGGAAGTATAAGAGATTACCTTCCTGTGCTACATTATTACACAACCTATCCTTGAATATGATGCATCACTATAAACTATAAATTCATCATTCCCCACAGTAAGGGAAAGAATAGGATCCTAGCACAAAAGTCTCTTCGACATCAGAAATGCCTCCTCTTGTTTACCATACCACACAAACAACTCTTCCTTTTTTGTCAACATAATTAGAAGACCCTTAACCTTAGATAAATATTTGATAAATCTCTAGTAATATCATGACAAGCCCATGAAACTATGTATGTCGGTAGGATACATTGGCCTTTGCCACACTCCCACCACCACTATCTTGTTCAGGCGCACTTTAATCTTGGATGCCCCAATGATATGCCTAAGATACTAGTTCTCCCTCAACTAGAATTCATACTAGGAGATTTTTGTGTAAATCTTCTCCTTGATAAATGTATCTAATACCTCCCGTAAATTCCTATAATGGTCTTCGACACTTTAAGAATACACTAATATATTATATATGAAGACTATAACCAATTTGTCCAGAAATGGACAACATACCCAATTCATCAAGTCTATAAAGACTGCAAGTGCATTTATCAAAAGAAAGGGAATCACTAAAAACTCATCGTGCCCATACCATGTCTTCAAAGTGGTTTTGGGTAAATCGCATTTAAAGACATGCACCTGATGATACCTAGAATGTAAAACTATCTTCAAGAAGTGACTAGCTCCCTATAACTGATCAAAGAGATCATCAATATGTGGGAGTAGGTACTTATTCCTCACATTCACTTTATTAAACTCTTGGTAATCAATATACATCCTCATAGAGCCATCTTTTTTCTTCACAAAGAGGACATCGGCACCATAAGGAAAGAAAGTTACTATAATCAAACCCCATTCTAATAAATTCTTTAACTGAGACTACATTTCCTTCATCTCAAAAGGAGCTAACCAATATGGTATCATGTCTTTCGGAGCCACACTAGGAACGAGATTCATCTAGACTTCTACCTCATGTGGGGGTGGTAAACCAGGAAAACCATTAGGGAAAACATTGCTAAACTTTTTAACCATCTCCACATCAGCTAGATCCACCATCTTCCTTGAGCTCTCGATCACATGATCTAAGAATACATCACATCCCCTCGTGCTCCTTCATTGAAGAAAATTTTGGCATAGATCCGAAAGTTCTTTTCCCCACAAGTAATGTCACAACCATCCCTAGCTAGGGAAATACAAATTTAGTTTTCATAGCACAAGATCTCAACTCTATTGGAAGACAAGCAATCTATATCAAGGATAAAATAGAAGGACTTGATCCCGATCAAAATCAAAGTCATAGGAAAGGTATGATCATAAAAATGTCTAACATAGGACGCAATGGACTACTAGGTATCACAAATTGAGAATAAAATATAGGGTAGAAAAATGATCTACTAGCGCAAGTATCAAATAAAACCAAAATAGGAAATCATTAACCAAAAAGGTTCCAAGAATCACCTCATCTTGATGCCTGGCCTCTTCCACTGTCATTTGGAAAGCACAAGCTAGCGCTTTAACTACTTTAACTTTCGAATATAGACATTGCTTGCCCATATGAATGTAAATGTAATAGACATGCTTGGTACTCTTACAATTTGCTGCCTTGTGGACCAATTTTCCCTATCTCCTACAACTGGTAGTATTGTTGCTATAGGGGAAATTTTGGGAAGAATTACATTTCCCATATAAAATAACTTGTTGTTCTTTTTCCAGCAAAGTTCTTATTTTTAGAGGAATCAGATGAACCCTCCTGCTTTCTATTCTACTTATGATTTATAGTAGCATTATCTTGTGTAGAAAAATCATCCTCTACTCTAAGAGCCTCATCCATGGAAGCAACTAGGGTGTTGTGCTACCTCATTGTTGCCTTGTACTCGATTAGTAGTCATTCAATATACTATCCTACTTCTTTAGCATCGGTGGGGTAGTAACCTTTCACAAACTGCAACTTCTTAGAAAACATGGCGTTTTACTTTGCAATGGACATAGTCCTCTTCTCTAGTACTAATAACTCTTGTTTAATCCTACAATTCTACACAAGAATGCAAAAGCAATCTTTTACTTTCTGACTGAAAATCTCCCATGTCATAGCACGTTGTGCAACCTTGGTGATAACCAAATCCAATGCCTCCCACCAGTCTAAGGCATCATCCTCAAGCTTCAAAATCATATAGTCGACCTTCTATAACTCAATAAAATTGCATGAGTAGAAGATTTGGTTCAACTTGCACAACCAGTACATACATACATACCGTCGGGTCTGCTCCTCCCCAAAAGATAAGAGGATTGTAGTCCATGAATTTCTTGAACGAAGTGCTCGACACTCAACACGGAACTTAACATGCTCCTACTCTGTAACATCCGACTTCCAGGTGTATTATTTGTAATTTATTTATTTATTTATCTCTTGAGCTACTCGACGAGTCGGTACTCGAGTAGAATCACGATGTGTCACGTGGGTTTAATGATCTACTCGACGAGTCCGAGAAGCTGAATCGCTGAGTAGGCGTTGGGATGAGAGACCCTAAATCCCCAACTTTGGGGCATATTTAAAGGCACTTATAGCCTCATTTTCGGCTTACTTCCTTGAAAGAAAAACCTAAACGACCTTGGAGCTTTAAGAGAGAGTGCTTTGCTAATTTCGAGTGTTTGGTGCATCTTGTTAAGAAAAGAGAAGAATTCCACGCCATGGGACAAGAAGGTACTACTAGATATAAGGTTGTTTCAATTCAGAGCTTTTGGGAAAAGTATAAAGCTTGCACCTTTCTCATTATTTTGTATAGATCTCATGATTGTCTGAATCCAGGGTTTTTCCAATGAAATATGAGGACCTTGAGTGTTTTATGTTCATTAAGAGGGTTGAACTTCAGATCTAACAATGTGAGGTCCCTAGAGTCCAAAAGTCTATGCTTTATCTAATCATAATAG